AGATAGGGAACTCGAAGCCCTCCACTTGTGACTGAACATCCCATGTGTCCCAGCCAGGATGGCCACTGATCAAGGAACCAAGTCAACTTTATAAACCATGGGTAGGCAAACTAAGGCCCGGGGGCCGGATCTGGCCCAATCGCCTTCTAAATCCGGCCCGCAGACGGTCCGGGAATCAGCATGTTTTTACATGAGTAGAATGTGTGCTTTTATTTAAAATGCATCTCTGGTTTATTTGTGGGGCATACAAATTCATTCATTTCCCCCCAAAATATAGTCCGCCCCCCCCACAAGGTCTGAGGGTCAGTGGATCGGTCCCCTGCTGAAAAAGTTTGCTGACCCCTGTAAACCTTGGCCTGAAGTTGGCTTCCTTCAGTAAGCCATCATTATGACTGGCCACATTTTGTGAGGCTTCGGACACAACACTAATCTGTGGTTAGTAAGAAGGGGGAAACTTCTGAAACTCTCGTTAGACACCCGGAAGAGGAAAGGGGGAGCAGATAGTCCCAAGTTTCATTCTCATGCCAATTATCCATGGTGGATCATTTAACTTTACTACAACTTCCAGCGGATAATGATATCCAGTATCCTCACAATTTCAACAAATGCTAATCTGCATTTGTATTAATAGCAATTGAATTATTTTCTTGGTTTCTTTTTATAGGGAAGTGTTCACAAAAAAGTAATAAGTATTTGATGAGAACTAGAAACGAGAAATTTGGAATTTTGTGTAACTGAGTTTAAGTGAGCTTAAATTAATGCATGCAAATGTCAAACCTAATTATATTAACAGAATGGCATATTCTGTTCAGTGTTTGTCACTGCGGGTTTTTTAAGTATGAAATTTCATGTCCTTATTTTAGCTTGTGGAAACTGATCTTTTTCAATTAAAAGATCCATATGAAGTGGCTGTTGATCTTTTGGTTTTGTACTACTAAATGTAGTTGAGCCTGTTCCAGCAAATTAGTTAGACTCAATTATCCCCTAGAAAAACATTTTAGTTGTCTCTGGCACAATTTCACCGCCACCACATGTCATTCCCTTCCACACCTTATCAGGAAAAAATATATATTAAAGATAAAGAGTTTCTCAGAAGTCAAGAAATAGTGAGTGCACCAGCTTGCTTCTATAACCACCACAGTGGAATATATGCTTATTTTTGCTGAGCAACTTAAGAATTTATTCTTGCCTTTGCAGTAGATGAAAATCAGTGATCCTAATAACAACCAATACAGTGCTACCTCGGGTTAAGTGCTTAATTCATCCAGAGGTCCGTTCTTAACCTGAAACTGTTCTTAACCTGAAGCACCACTTTAGCTAATGGGGCCTCCTGCCGCCGCCATGCCGCCAGAGCACGATTTCTGTTCTCATCCTGAAGCAAAGTTCTTAACCTGAAGCACTATTTCTGGGTTAGCGGAGTCTGTAACCTGAAGCATATGTAACCTGAAGCGTATGTAACCCGAGGTTCCACTGTACTCTTTATCTATAAAATATTCAAAACAGATTTAATGAAGTTTCATAATTATTTTTCTTGATTTTTATTTTTTTTAAGGAAAAGCACCCATGGAAATGGGGAATGGTATATTGACAGGAGAAGGAGTAAGTGATGAGAAATGGCTCTTCTCCCATGCTGCATACAAGAAACAAGAAAAATCCCTGCTGTTATTTGTTATTGTCTCCATTGGATGAAGAAGAGTTGAATGAAGAGTGAATGGTTTTTCTATAGGTTTTTTTATTCTCTTTCAGTTATTTCAACTCCCAGTTCTCCCCTTCAGTGGTTAGATAAATTGAAAAGTGAAGTGAGTTCAGGAGTCACAGGACAATATAAGACAGTATGTATAACATTTGGACAATACCCTTCTGTATGTTTGTAATAGTATCAATTCTTTGGAAGTATGAATTTGGAAGAGTATGAATTAGTGTGAAAGAGAAACATGTCAAGCCTAGAGTGCCACTCCTACACACTAAAGAAAAATTCTGGAACCCTCTTTAAAGCTTCCAGGAACTGTTATCTGTTTCTTAAAGAACATTTTCCTAACACTAAGAGCATAAGAAAAGCCAGTATCCTCTATTCTTGCAGTCGCCAAACAGATGCCTTATGGAAGCAACTGGTACTCAAAACCATACTCCCTCTAGCACATTTTATTTATGGGATACATTTTAGCGATCACTTCAATCAAGTGTCAGTGACCTAGACAAAGTCTGATTGTTAAGTTTGGCAGGAGGCAAGTACTTTACTCTCGTAGACAGAGAGCGTTTTGTGGTTCATCTCAAGTGGCAAAATGTCTTGGGCTATCCCTGTGGCAGAGTCACTTGAATAATGCAGACAGGGTTCTGAGAGAAAAAGAGACTGATAATACTTAACTGGGTAAGCTGAACAAAAGCAGTATAAGGAGAAATAAACAGAAAGGTTTTGTGTTTCAAGAAATAAACAGGTAGTGGTTCAGGCTTACCAGGCCTTAGTGTTTCTTAGTGGAACCAGGCAGAGGGCCTTCTTGGTAGTGGTGCCCTCCCTGTGAAACGCTCTCCTTTCAGATGTCAAGGAGATAAAGGATCACACAACTTTTAGAAGACATCTGAAGGCAGATGGGTATTGGGAGGTTTTTAACGCTTGATGGTTTTAGATATGCTGTAAGCGACCCAGAGTGGCTCGGGAAACCTAGCTAGATGGGTGGGGTATAAAAAAATATATATTATTATTGTTTTATTACCACATAGCAGGAAGACATTCAATGCCACAAACAGAAGAAAACTCCTTTAAAACTATGCAACCAAAGAGGGCATGTGCTACCACAGTGAACATCATGCCATTCTGCCTAGTGTTGCAAAAGAATATCACCCATTCCCTCCTTGACATTAAAGTTGACTTTGACACTAACAGAGGTAACTCTTACATTTCGAACAGAATAATCATTGATATTGTGCTCCAAATATTTAAAAGAACTGGAGTAGCTGTAACCATCTTTGCTTCCCACAATGACAATCTAGCTGTAATGAACACTGCTTTGACACATACCACAAAATCAGTTTTGGGAAGTCTTGGACTGTGAGCATATTCATATTATTCTTTTGAGCCCCTGCCAGAATTGTAGCTTTTTCTGGCTTTAATTTTTCCTGATGCCAGCATTCGTGTGACCCAGCATATGGCACAGCCACTGAAAGTCAAGTGTGACTGGCAAACAGTGGTTTCTATGGACTAAGACCCAGTTTCATGACAGCTGAAAGCAGTTTGAATTGATGCATGGCTGAAGGGAATTGATCACCATAATGGTTTTTAAATCACATCTCACACTTAACAGGCCTGTTTGTCAAGCAACATGGTTGCCCTATCAAAATGCAATGTTCCCTGCTTTCGCAGAAAAAGGGGGGGGGAGAGATACTTTCTATCTCATTTAAAGCTATCCTTTCCCCCATCTGACCATCTTTGCCTTCAAATGGTACATTTAGCACAGTGGTTATCCTCCTTATTGAGTGAAGAAGGGATGCTAAGATAACAAGCTGGACTCTAGCCAAAGACAAACCAGGAAACATATTGCATGAATCATTTGGAACTAGCCTGTGCGGAGGGAGATGAAAATGCTGAAGGCAAAAGCTTTAGCAGAAAGCATGCGCTACAACACTTTGAAGTGTTTTGCCCTCCTTAACTAATACTACCTTGGGAGGCACCTCCCGGGACGCACACAAGGCCAGCTTTAAATGTTACTTCACAAGAGATGCTGGAACGAATTCTAACATTGCCCATCTGCTCTGGTTAGATTTTTTTTTTCCCCTTAGAAGATTATGGAGGTGAAATAAGCACAGCTGAAAAATGGTTGCTTCACTTTGTAGGCTGAATACACTTTTAATGCTTTCAAATGTCAAGAGTGTTAAATGGAATCAAATGAACAATCTGAATTCCCTTTCCTTTAAAGAAATGGTGTTGCCCGACATTCTTTTTTATGGTCTCTACAGAAACAGTCACAGTAGTAGCCATGGAAGCTGTTCATGAGGGAGGTGGGGTGGGCACAGGGAAGGGAAAGCAAGGAGGGTCACTAGCAATCTGTCCTGAAGCATCTGGCAGAAATCTAGCCGTGTGCTGGACTTCTGAGTGTCTTGGACAGGTTGAACAAGTAGGCAAAAGTCTGAAGAGGAGAGACGGAACAAATTGGTCTCTTGGAGACAAATACTGCGTTATCTAAGAGGATCAGAGATGAAAGGGGCAGCTGGGATCAGGCCTATGCTGAGGGAAGATGGGGATTTCCAAATACAAAAAGTGACTAGTTGCAGGTTGACCAGAGACAAAAGATGATTAGACTTGGGCAAAAGGCATTCTGCTGAGTCACTGGGTGTGTAACTGGCAAGTTTCCAAATAATGATTTGGTAGACCTAAGGAGCAGTGGGTAGGGCCTATTGGTAAAACCTATTTGATGTTTCGCAACTTTCCAACTAGTTGCAGGACCTTAGCCAGACCTAGCAGAGTACATGCAGAATCCACGGAAGCAATTGGCGACTTGGCTGCAGACAGGATAGATGAAGCAGAAACCAGGAACTTGTAGTTAGGTGTTTATTATATACAGTGGACTATTTACAGGAACAGAACACGGATTTTTAGCTTGCTCTCTCATACACGACTCACAACTCCTACACTGACACAGAACTGTGAACTCATGAACACTGAACTAACACATTCCAGTTAGTAGGCCATTAATTATCACTCCCTTGAGAGAGCTTGACCATTCAGGGAGCGGTCTCCATGTCTCTGTTATCACCAGGCAGACTTACTCCTTCAGACTGCCTTCTGGCTGTCTGCCAAACCTTAATTGACTCTGTGTGAGTAGCTGCACGTACACAGTTTCCCAACAGGGCCAATACACAAGTATCTCAGGTGCACACCTCATGTAGGAAAGCCTCATGTAGGGAAACAGATGTAACATTAAGTGATTCATAAAATCATAGAATTGTAGAGTTGGAAGGGACCGCAAGGGTCATCTAGTCCAACCCCCTACAATGCAGGAATCTGTTGTCCAACCTGGGGCTCGAAACCATTACCCTGAAATTAAGAGTCTCATGCTCTACCAATTGAGCTATCCCAATAGCTCTTGAATCGCTTATTGATGGGGTAGTGCACCAATCAGGAGGTGACTTTTGTTCTCAGCAGGGCTAATGAGATCAAACTGAGCCATGTGCTTCTGTTAGCAGCTGGCAAACAGTACAAGCGTAGAATTAGTTATTACCATACAAATGAAGGTTGCCCTCTGCTCAGTCCCATGTGTATCTTCTGTTAAAGAGGGTAGCTAGCTTAAGGCAACATTTGGTTCCTCTGTTGTATTGTATTTGCAAAGTTGTTCCATGTAGTTCCGGGGCAAAGTGTACAAAGTGACAGGTGAACTGATCAACTTGGTAAGATCCACGCCTTCCCCACATCACCAACCCCGTATCTCCTTGGCAATGTGTAGTAAAAACCAAAACAAATTTGATACAATATCATCACCCTCATTATGTTCAATAGTTTAATTTATTATTACTGTACAAAGGAGAGGCACTTATGGGATTTTCTACCCCAGGTTTTAAAATAATTTGGTCAGCTTTGTGTGTGTTTTTTTTAGTATAACTTGGCCATAATTTTTAAGTGGGCTAAACAAATCATGGTTGTCTGAGCAACCAGGTGACTAAGCTTAAAATCTTAGATATATACAAGAAGTGTGTGTATCTGTGAGTGCGTGTGTGCATGCGCACGCACACACATAATACCTACACCTGATCTAAAGCTGTGGGGAGTTCAAAGGCCTGCAGAACATTTCTTGGAAGCTGCAGTTTAATCATATCTTAATTTTTCTTCTGTCTCACCTGTCACCTGAGGATAACTGACTTGTAAACCATTCTACAATTAGTATTTCAGAATGGTACAGTGGGGCTCATGAAATTCCCAGGAAGCAATGAAGTAGAAAGAATATAGGCCTAGTTATTAAGATACTGAGATTTATTACATGTGGGTTTTTTTTAAAAAAAAACCCCACCTGAAATGAGGTTGTTAACTTAGGATAATAATTTCTGGCTCATTTTATGTACTGCAGGGATACTTTATTTAATCAGTTGATTGGCCAGATCAATCAGTTGATCTTTCACCAATTAGAAATATGCCATTGACTAAGGCAGCAGATTTCTTTTTTAATTGATGCAAGCGCTTATAAAAACTAGTGTCAGTTTATTTTATTTTATTTTTCCATTTCCATTTTTTCACCCAATAGTGGAAGTGGTGGCTACAAATACAATTTTTATTTTTTATTTTTTAGTAATAATCCAAAAAGAACAAATCCATTAAAAATACAATTAAAATGGCAAAGTAAAACCAGTTTCAACATATTTAGAAGTCATATTATGGGCCCAAGTTCTGTCTAAATAAAAATGGCTTTGCCCACCGGCTAAGGAACTAACTGGGATCAGCTGCCAAGGAAGCCATTTCTTAAGTTTCCATCTTAGAAGAGGCATGCCTTTTTTCCTCACACATATAAGAGACGGATGGGGAAGTACAACCCTTCAGATGCTGCTGAACTATAATTTCTGTCACACTGAACACTGGCCGTGCTGGCTGAGGCCAATGGGAGTTGGAGGGCCACAGTTTCCCCAGCCTAAGACTATGCTTGCTGCAATATGCATATATATCCATGAAAAACAAAGAATTGTTTTCCTTCAGAACGGCACATGCAAATAAACGAACATTTAATACATTGCAACTCATAGGACTGATTGACTACAATTTATTTAACTAGGTGACAGACCTCATGTACTATGCTCATCAAAGCACTCTGCTAGCACAAGTCTGAACCATTTCAGCTGCTAATTTATGCTAATTCCTCATTCTGAGTATTAAGAACTCGTGCTTCCAGTTTAGTCTGGCTTTGAAACTTTACTGTAAATGTCTGCAAAGGAAATCTGTGCAGTCACGCTAGTCTGGAAGAATCATTGTGCCTACTGACTTATCACTGCAGTTCAATAGTTCCCAAAATATGAGAGGGGCATACATTTCTAAAGTGAAGTGAGGGAGCTGTTGTTTCATATTTCCCAGAATGCATCTGCTACACTGAATTGTGGTTTGGGTCTAACCCAGGCCTGCGAATCACTGCAGTGCAAAATAGGAGACAGATCATTGACCTGACTTTGTATCAATTGTCAGAGGCCACCCACTAACAAAACGCTCCTATGTACGTAAACTCAGAAGTACGTCCACTGTGTTCAGAGGAGCTCAGTCCAAGGTGTGCATAGGACTGCAGCCTAAATCTCCAGCATGTGGTCACTGGCAAAGGAAAAGGGGTGCGGGGGGAGCACACCGCCCCTGGCGGCATGATCCCGGTGGGGTGCTATCGCAGCTCCCCCCCACGCTGGGTGCCATGCCCCCACAGGCGGCGCACCATGCCCCAGGATGCGTGTTATGCCCCTGCGGGCAGTACACCACGCCCTCAGGACATGCGCCATGCCCCCGCCGGAGCTTGAAACTCTGCCACTGCATGTGGTTTATCTGCCCTCCCCACCACCAACAGATTTCTTGTCCCAGATTCATGTCTTTATCATTTGTATTTATAACCCATCCTTCACCAAATGGCCCCAGGACAGGTTACAAAAATATAAGTATGAAAATAGGTATTGCGTACCACTAAAGTCATAAAAGAAAAACCACAAAACGACCAATTATCAGAATAACAACAGCAGGTTGAATTGTTGCTAATTGCTAATGGGCTTTTTTCAAGTGCCAGAGTTGTCATCAGTATTAGATGAGTTTCACCTAAAGCAAAATATTAAACCAATTTAAAGTTTCATACCCTGGTATTTAGACTACTAGAGTCCACTTCACCAGAGGAAGCATGAATCTCAGTTGGCAGATACATGGATGTAGAAGAAAGGGAGATGTCTACACTGGGTAGCTCAGTTGGTTAGACTGAGCATGGTGCTGATAATACCAAGGTCGCACGTTTGATCCCCTTATGGGACAGCTGGGTGCGTGGCTGGAGCTATGTGCCTCCCCGCACCTAGAAATGTGGCTGCCCGACCTAACAAGGAAAGCTGGTTACAGAAATGTCTCCAGGGCCTCAGGCAGAAGTCTTTCTCAGTCCTACCTACAGATGCCAGCTTCACCCATGCACTTACGGTGTATTCAAAGCATTTGCATTCAAAGCTAAGCAGTGGATCCTTACTTCTCTCACCCTGACCTGGCCCACTGTGATCCATGTGACGGTCACCTCCAGACTTGATTATTGTAACTCACTCTACATGGGGCTGCTCTTGAGACTGACCCAGAAACTCCAGCGGGTGCAGAATGCCGCGGCGAGACTCCTTACAGGGTCCTCGCCATGGGATCACATTCACCTGGTGCTATACCAGCTGCACTGGCTCCCAGTGGAGTACAGGGTCAGGTTTAAGGTGCTGGTTTTAACCTTAAAAGCCCTATACGGCCTAGGACCCTCTTACCTATGGGACCACCTCTCCTGGTATGTCCCACGGAGGACCTTACAGTCTTCAAACAAAAACATCTTGGAGGTCCCGGGCCACAGGGAGGTTAGGCTGGCCTCAACCAGAGCCAGGTCTTTTTCAGCTGTGGCCCGATCTGGTGGAACGCTCTGTCACAAGAGACTAGGGTCCTGGTGGAACGCTCTGTCACAAGAGACCAGGGCCCTGCGGAACTTGACATCTTTCCGCAGGGCCTGCAAGACAGAGCTGTTCCACCAGGCCTTTGACCAAGGCCTGACCCCCTCCTTTGGTAATCCTCATAGAACTCTAGCCCAATGGTTGCCATTAATTTGATTCTGAATTGATTTTAGAATAAATTGATTTTAGAATGCTGTGTTACTTTCACTGTTGTTTGCCTCTCTGAGCTCGGCTTTGGCTGGGGAAGGCGGGATATAAATAAAATATTATTATTATTATTATTATTATTATTATTATTATTATTATTATTCTACCACTCAGCACTCTTCTTCAACCTGCAGTCCAGCTGTTAGATCTTAGGTTCACATTTCAAGATGGACGTGCAAAAGGACAACACAGAGCCACTGATATCTTAACTGTTTATTGGAGACAGGCTAAATGTAAAAAAAAAAAAAAGACAGATGATTCTAGTTGGAAGGTGATGCTTTCCAAACTGCCATTATCAGAATGAATCACTTCCAAGGGGATATTTTTATTCTGTTGTCGGCTGAAGTGGTGGAAAGGTCAGACACTGTGCTAAAATTAAGCTGATAAACAGTGCTTTCAAACACACTGGTTGTTTTTTTTTTATCAGGCTAAAACTCCAAATACGGCATGATCCACCTATTTAAGCAATTTCCTCCAAAATTAGGAAAAGCTTATAATAGTTCCTAAGTAACATGAAGGAGTATTTCTCCACTCCTTTTTCTTTTTGTCAGATATCATTTGTAAGTTTATTGGTTCTACCATGAAAAAAAACTAAAACAAAGAAGAAAGTCACCAGTTCTGCACATGGGTGTAGCCAGGATTCTTTGGGGGGGGGGGCAGGCTTTTGTTAGGAGGGCAGACTTTTGATGGGGGGGGCAGAACCTCAGATCTGTATTGATTTTTATTGACTTGGATTGACAGGGGCAGCTGTCCCCTGCCCCCCCCCACTACACCCATGGTTCCACACAACCCACCCCAAACCAGAAATGCAAATTTTCAAAATCAAAGATGTTGAAAAAATCACAAAGAATAAGATCAAAGAACAAGGGGCATTATGGGAGAGAAGGGGATGTGTGTAGGTGTGGAAGCAGCAATTGTGGTAATGTGATGCATGAGAATCTTTCCCATTCCACTTACTGTGTTCTCACAGTGGCCAATCAGACCCCTGTAGGAAACCAGTGAACAGAACATGAGCAAAAAGCAGTCTCTCCTCCAGTGGTTTCAAAAAATAAATAAATCCCAGTTCTTGTCTGTGCTCCTCCAACATCACACCTGAGCCCACCTTCAGCAGGTGAGTCAGAGAAACTGGTGGGCGGCATGGTAGACTAGCAGCAACCCTAGTTTGCTATAACTGGCATCACTCTTCAAATATGGATTTTCATCTCAATCTTTCTGATACTTTCTGATACTTCAGGGAGAGTGA